TTCCTTTTTTTTCTGAAATATTTGGAAAACATGAAGAGCAAAGAAGCACACTACTGAAATTCAGTATTACTGCATTTGAAAATGTTTCAGGCATCTACTGCCCTTGCTTCTATATTTTTTGTATCTTCTCACTCTGCTTCTGCTCTTCTGGAGAAGCTACCTTGGTAGCAGCAACTGAAATATTCATTTTCCTAGAGAGCAAGAAAGAGCCAAAGAACTAAAAAGAATCCTTTAAACAAGAGAAACAAACATTGATTAGCTTCAAACAACATGTTTAAATGACTTGGTTATCTTTATTTTTCAGTGACCATAACCTGTCGTGGGTTCAACCCTCCACTTCTGTCAATTGTTCTGCGGAACTGCCAAATAAATTGCTAATGCACCAGCTTCCAGGTATATAACAATTATTAAGGAATATTGTTAAAGCTATCTAGAAGATGGAAGATTTTTCAGTCAGGAGAGTTCAATCAGTAGAGTAACCAATAGCATCCGAGTTCTCACTTGAAAGTAGGTTATTGCTCAGCTATGGATCAATTTATTGTAAATTCTGTCTGGGGAATCTAATGAAACTAAAGATTAACTTGGCCTTCGCTGGTCTTCACTGAAGTCTGTAAAACACAGCCTAAGTTCTAGTGCTTAAGTTTTTCCTCTGTTACTTCAAGAAATCTAGTTGGATTGCTTGTGTTTACAATGGTAAGTTAATAAATGAGAGCTCAAAGAGGTAGGATGTTTTCAGTTTGTTTTCAGGATGTTTTCTTCTGTTTTCAGTCTCTATTTGATCATAGAATACCCTGAGTTGGAAGGGACCCATAAGGATCATCAAGTCCAACTCCTGGCACCACACAGGTCTACCCAAAAATTCAGACCATGTGACTAAGTGCACAGTCCAAACGCTTCTTAAACTCCATCAGGCTTGGTGCACTGACTACTTCCCTGGGGAGCCTGTTCCGATCTTTCATTGTTAGTTTGCTATGAAGCATGTTTGGGAAGACAAAGTACAACAGAAAAATTAATATTTTTTTAGATCTTGTATGAAATAAGAGAAACATTAGTTTTAAAAAAGTGAGTAAGGAGAGACCTTTAAGTGAGAAAAAATGAGCATAAGTAATCACAAGACCCAAGAGAAACAAGAGGGCAAAGAACGTGTCATGTCAGAAAGACGACAGGATAATATTGTATTTCAGTTTATTTGTAATCAAAGTAATGATTACAAATAAGACAGCTAACACAGTATCTGGCAACACAATTATTGCAAGTACATCAATTGGGACATGGTCTCAGAGCTTAAAGATAGTGTAATCTGGTTTAATCTATTGAATATTAGGACAACAAATGCTAATCACTTTAGGGAATATTTTGCCCATACAAGAAAAAAAAAGCCCACCATCAGTATCTAAAAATAACTGTAATGCTTGCAATAAACTACCATTTCATGTGTGAGTATTCTTCTGTCTGTTGTTATTCTCAAAAACAGTAAATCAATATTCAGATCTAGCACATCAATTTCTGGCAATAAAAGTGGATACAGCAGCTGTTTGCAATGAATATGCAACATGCCAGTTCATGAAAGAAACTGACTGAATGTGAGTCTCTAGAGTCAGCTTCTCAGAAGACACCAACTACTCTACTCTACATCGAAGACAGGCAGCTTGGAGGATATAGCTGTGCTGTTCTGGATTGTTCATAGTAGTGCCAACAATAATCAAGAATAGAAAAATAAACAGTCTACCACTACCCTTTTGCCTGTTATAAAATTTATCATGGCACAAAGCACTTAGAGTAGTGGGAAAAGAGATTGCACCATGATGTATCCCCTTCATTACAAAACAGGCTGCTAGGGAATGTTGCATTTCAAAAAATTAGTACCAATCTTTTCACACAGTTGGACATCAAGAAGCAGACTAATTTTCAGGGCTATTTAGTTTTATTTGTAAATTGTGTCTTTCATAAGTATTGAGAAATAGCCCTGTTGAATCAGCAGGTGAGTGAACTGCAGAAGCTCCTAGAGTATTCAAGCATATTCTCAATACTTGAGACTCAGATCATCTATGGGCTCCCAGCAACATGAACACATGTACTGTAAGGGCCTAATATCTAAATGAGGATAATTTAATGAGAAAAGTTGCTTCAAATTGAAATGCAGCTTATCTGATGGTTTTGTAAAATATGCATTGTTTGTAATCTGTTCTGGGAGCACTTCCTTCAACTTTCCTTACAGGGGCACAATAAACATGTTGACAAACTCATGTAGGCACACATAGTACTTGAAAATAAAAGTTCAGATACGGTGTACTGGTGCATTAACTTTCTGCAGCACTTCTTGGTTTTTAAAGAATGGCCTTACAAGAACAAACTTTAAATTTTCCATGTTCCCATTGATGTCTCAGAAGATCTGTCAAAAACAGCACCTACAAGATGATACAGCAATATTCCAGGCTTAATAACATAAAGTTAGGCAGCCTCTTAAACCTTTGAAATTACTCATGCTGCTTTGAAGATACCTCGTTTATGCTGCTTGCTCTTTTTTTTTTTTTCCCGGTATGTGTGGGCAACAAAAGACAAGTTTTTCAGATTCAGTCTGCTCTTCCCCCTAGAACAGACTCTTTTTAGTGTTATCACAGTGTACCCATTCCACCTCCTCCCACTGAAAGGCCCCAAACCACCCCCAGCTTTGTTTCAAGCTGCTTTGCCCAGATGACCTTTGATGTTCTAATACCTGCTGGCCCAAAGCATTAGTCATCACAGTGGTTTTTTAGACAGGTGCAATCTACAGCAAATTTTAATTAGCAAAGTTTCAGTGTAAAAATAGGATCATTCTTCTTGCTTTTGAGATCCACACACTGAAATTTCAAATCCCAAATGCCACAGCTGGGCAGAACGAGCCCAACATAAAAGAAATACAGTTGGATCAAAAATGTTGACAGGAATTCCGAATTCCCAGCTATTTTAACCATGACAGAGCATCTCAGGATGTTTTCAGTTTTCAAGCTGGTGTACTAAAAAACCTGAAATATTCTCTACTCATTACAAAAAAAGCTACAGACATTTTGTGAGGAAGTTATCAAATAGTGTTGCTTTTTCTCTTTTCTTTTTTTTTTTTTAAGCCTTCTATAGCTTAAGTCACCATTTCTACACATTTAACTAACTACTGGCAGCATGTTTCAAGTGACAATGCAGTGAAATGCAAACTTTAACAACAGTCAGGACTGCCCAGTGCTGCCTGCAGTACTCCTAGAGTACCCTAGACTTATTTGATGATAACTGGATGTTATAGACTTACTTGATGATAACTGGGTGTTATACAAAAAATATACACCATGAACTATGCAAATGGACAGCAAACGGTCCATTGAAAAAAAGTACCTTTCCTCTTTACAGTGTGAAAATGGGCTCTGAGTATGGGAAGGCTCTTCTAGATGCACGAGTTTACCAGACACAGCTGATTTCATTGCAAGCATATATTATAGAAGAGGCCACACAAGCCTTGAGCATGTGCAAGGCTATGTTACTGCAGAAACAAGTCTCCCTACTAGCATTCATGTCTTGTGGTTACAGCTGACCCCCTGCTAGGGTCATGTTTCCAGCTTGGCTCACCTGCCACTGTTAGTCCCCAAAGTTTTGCAGGTGTTCCTGGAACTCTTACCAGATAGATATAAGACTTGAAAAGTAACTGTTCCTCTACCACTACATCCCCATGAAGGGATTTGATTTTCTTCCTTTGCTTTAAGATTTATACAGTGAGAAAAGTGTCCCCACTGTAAAAATTCCCATCAGGTTCCTTCACTCATGAGCTCTGATGACTACCCCAAGGTGCCCAGCTAACATGCAATCAAAATTGTATTTTCCAGCACTTAGCATTCTTCCAGGCAACTGCATTTATAATTTTCAGTGTTGCTCATTGACTGCCTGTTCATGTACAGGCTAACCCCCAAAAGTATAAGCAGTTTTGATTTTAAACTGAAGGCAATTATATAAACACATTTTGTCTGTATTTCTGTATTATGATTCAACCATGGATAGCGACTCAGACTGGTTTAAGCTGAGAACTAGAACTACTCTTCCATGAAGGAGTGAAAGCTGAATACACAGATATCCCTGCTGGAATAAGAACTCCAAATATAGCTCCTCATTTGCTGCCAACCCCTGTAATTTGTATCTTTTTCAGTACGCCAGCCAAAGAACATAACTGTATGAAAAGCCATCAGCATACACTATTTCTATATGTAAATATAAAATTCCAATTGTTAACACAGGTTATGACTAACAGACATTAGACTTAGGCCTTAGTCTTCCAAGAAAGTTTGACACTAATGTGCCGTACTGATGGGAGATGCTCCATGCCACATATTATATGGTTACAAATCAAAAAATCTCACATTAAAAACGTAAAAAGCAGGGTGAAAAGAAACAGTTAAAAATGTATGCCATATTGCATACGATCCTTTTATGGTAAAAATTCATTCTCATTCAATTGAGAAAGCCTACAAATTTTGGAGCATATGTACTTTAAAAGGGCAAAAGAATTTATGGCAAGTTTAAGCATTCAAGTGTTGAGAAGGGGGAAGAACAAGATTAATTGGATATCCACTAGTAATGGTGTCAAATAATGAAACAAAAATATAGTAATCAAACAGCAAGAGGATATTGCGATAAAGAATGAATTATTCTCCCTCCTCCGTATTTTTTCTTAACACAACAGGGCATTAACTTAGCTATGCTGAAGAGCAGGTGGCTGAACAGACAAATTCATTTTTACTGAATATGTTTAATGATCCTCATTTATTATACCAGCTTAAGTATTGAGTGGTTCATATAAAATCAAACTGAAAAGATTTGATACCAACTCCACAGAACTAGTGCTTGGCTCCAGTGCCTACTTGTTGGTAACTAGTGTCCTAAGCCAAAATGAGCGTTGAAGAAATTTTTCCCTCCTCCCCTCAAGATTGCTTACTCATTAAAGTGGACAACACAGTAAAGAAAACCTGCTCAAGACACTGTTATCCCTTCAACTTTGTTTATTGATGTACTGAACATGAAAAAGTACAAAGGATCCAAACACAAAATAAAACATGTACAACCTCTTAAATACTCAACAGAATATATTTTTCTATTCCAACAGATGTGAATTAAGTCATACTATACAACTTCAAATAAATACCAACCTTACATTTTACTAAGTGCTCTGATAAACACTGTAAAGTGAAGCCCAATTTACATGCCTTCTCATCAATGCCGTTGTTTGCTACAGTAGTATAAGGAAAGAAGCATGTAGCTGTTTTCCCCCACACTGGAAAGTTTGTGTTTTCTATAGTATATACAATTTTTAATGCAGAGGAGCTTTAACAATCTAAATGCACCTAAGAATGAGGAAGTGCTCAGGAAGCCAATTGATTTTTGAATAGCATTGAGTGGGTCAGCATGAAAACTCGCTTATTCACTTTAGCACGCGCTTCACAGTATATGTAACTGTACTATACTGAAAATTTTATAACTACAATTTAAAGGAATAAGAACCAAAAGCAACTGCAAAGATAGTGTACAACTATGTTTATGCATAGAACATTGCTTTTTCTAAGGGGAAGCATATGAGCATCTCAGTTTATACAAAAAGCAGGACGTAACTATATAGTTGTCAGTGCATCCTGGTGAAGGCATGAAAACCCTCAGCTTTTTTTCCAAAAATTCAATTATAAGCTAGATGCTAATCAGAAAATATTCTGTATTTTTCTTAAATTTCTTCAATACATGGTAAAGACTTTTCTATGTCCCCAAATAGTGATTTAAGCATTATACGAAGTTAAATTTCAGTAGCATACAGGTATTCATGGGTTTTGTATGAAAAATGTAAGGAAATTTGTCCAAAACCTATGATTATACTTGTTTTTACCACAAACATATTTATAAACCAAAATATAGCATCACCATAAACAGCTGAAGCTAGACTATCTACAGACAAAAATAGCAACAGATCTGATGCACTGTAAATTCAAGTCCTCAGGACAACAAAAATGAATAAGCAGACCTCAAGTAACAATGTTAATGCCATTTACAAAGAAAAAACTCATACAAAAACATTCAAAGTTGACCATCACTTGGCATGTAAGTTAAAAAATAAACTAAAACCAAAATCAGCTGAAAGGTTCATAATTCAAGGTCTTATTTACATTACACAAAGCTCAGGTGTTAGCCTTGAACATAACTTTCAAAATACCTCCAAATATACCCAACTCAGGCCACTTCTGCTGTGCAAACCATGCACAATGTCTTTTTCTTAAGACAAAACAATTCTTCAAACAATAGCAAGTACATCACTAAACACCATGAGCTCTATCTGAAGGGAATTCTTTAGGAAGAACAGATTTTTTTTCCCCCGTCTCAGTATTTTTAAGTTTCCTGCTTGCTCTTATATAGCTTTTTTAAATTTTCTTTTGTTTCAAAATCACAAATTAATGTGAGCCATCTATCACTTAATAACCAGGATGATCAAAGACTCCACCGATGATTACAAAAATGAAATCAACAGTGCATCCCATCAACTCTACTTCTTAATAGAAAGGTCTCAAAAGTATTTCTACATCATAAATCTTTCTAAATTTTTCCCCAACAACTGCAAATTTCCTGGTAAGTTTTAAAAGCTCACTAGGTGTCTTATGAAGAGATTTCTCAAAGTATTCAAGTCAAAATATTTGTTCCAGGACCAGTAAAAAGTTTCTCCAAATTTTTTTTTATTTTTTTTTTATAAAAATAGATGCTTTTTTTTTTAAACCCACATCAAAGAGGCTCTTATCTCTTTGGCAAGGTACTGCTTTACGAAAAGTTCTCCAGTATTCTTACAATAAGCTTTTATAACGTGTTCCCCTTCCCCAACCCAAATGATAATTATAAAATAAATACTGCTTATAACTTTATAAATAAAGTGTAAACTTCAAATACTTTTCTTGAACAACAGAACAGCAATGCATTAAAATGTAAACTAAACACAAGGCAGATCAAGAAATTATAAAAAGAAACTTAAGTAGTATAACACAAAGCCTCAATATTTACTCATAGGTTAAAGGCAGTCATGTAAAGAAAAAACTTCTTCCCTTAGCTGAAACGTTTTAAAAGGTCCACCTTCTTCAAAGAAGGCAATAGAATGCATTGTGACAGGTAAAAACCCTGTACCTCTTGTCAATATTCAAACACAAAAGGTATTTAAGAAGTTCTAATTCAAATATTAGCAATAAAAAATCTCACATATTCTTAGGATGCTAAGTAGTCATTTTATCCCCATTTCCACACTGGCATACAACAAAGGCATTTACTAATGCATAAAGCTTCTTGTAAATTGCCTTTGTTGTATAGATTTCGTATATTAATGCACTGAGAATAACTTGTTAGGCTTTGTGCGTTTTGTTTGTTTTAAAGGAGACCTGCAATACTCTGTCCCCAAGGCGGTATCCATTCAGGCTGGCTATTGCCATAGCTGCCTCATCATAGTTTGTCATAGTCACAAATCCAAACCCTTTGCACTTGTTTGTGTTAAAGTCACGAATGACCTTCACATTGGTTACTGCTCCAAAGGGTCCAAACATTTGCCAGAGGATACTCTCATCAGCATCAGGGGCCAAATTGTACACAAAAATGCACCATCCAGTTCCTGCGTGTCCAGGGATATTAATTCCAGCCAAACTGGTCATTCCATCAATAGTCATGGGAGGAAACCTACTGAATAATGGTGGAAAACAAAAGAAACAAGCATAAAGCAGCTGTTCAGAGAATCCCAGCAAAGAAGTTTCAAACAGAGAAAAGAGATAGAAGGCTTTTGACAGTGGGCATGGACATTTCAGCCAGATGAATAAGGTAATACTGCAAAGTACTGCAAAGTGTTTTTTTTTCAGCTGCAGAAATTCTATATGCAGTACAAGGCACAATTGTGGGAACAGAGTTAAATCTGACTGAAATGAAATAATAAACAGAAGAACGTAAGAAAAGCATGCTAGAAAGCCAGTGAGGATTAAGTCATTTGAAATGGGAATTCCATGAAACTGCTACTGAGTTTGTCTTTCATGCACAATGCACTGAAATGAGCAACTTCAGCTGAAGTTTCAACATGTGGAAATGTCTTACTGACAATGTAATGGTAGCCAAAATATTTTCTCTTAATAATCTGGTTACTGTGAACTGAATGGTTCTTTACCTCTTTACACCATAAGCCATGTTGAGCAGATTGTCCAGCCTGCAAAACATTTAGCAAAGTGTTCAGTCTTCAGACTTTTCTAGCCTTTTATCTTAAGAACACTTGGTTTCCACCAGCCCCTTAAACTGTATTCTAGAGAACCTTATGCAAAGCTTGAGTACCTGAACTACAAGAGCTGGAAGACCTTGTTACACATGAAACAGCCAATGTAACACTAAACAGATGTTCCTGTGTAGTACCCACAACCACAAGTAGTTAAGTTCAGAAAGGCTAAACTTGTGGTAGTGGTGCACTAAGTCAAACAATACTGTCAGCATCAAGTTGTAGTCAGTGACCACTTCAGTGAAATCTTTGAAATTATAAACTTGTTAGATGAAGGCTTTACTGAGACATGACTTCACAATATGCTGACATGAACACCCAGACCAACACAGAGTTTTCGAGCAGTAAAAAAAATATTAAAACAGGTATTGCAGTAAGAGCCATTTTTTCCCCTACATTTTCTTACTCTTTTTTGAAAGAATTTTTTTTAGAATATTGATACATTTCATGTTGTAAGTTTTCTCCATATATTTCTTCCTTCACTTTCTCCCAGGCTGCTGATCTGTAGTATGCAGTCCCACCTCTAAATGCTCTTGGAGTTACTTAGCCAATACCTAAGAACATGCAATGCCTAACAATCCTATTAAGCAACTTCAGTAATAAGTTGAAAGTGCTTCTCCAATAAAATTTCTTCCCTAAAGCAGCTCTGGTGTCTTCCTAGTAAAGCTCGGACATATGAAGAGGAAGTCTCATGCTTAAAGGTTATCTTCATGATTTCACAAAATATGAGCTTAGGGAATAAAGATTTAAAGGATTCAGTTTTTAGCTTACAGCTACCTTACAGATTCCTACTTGGTTGTCATTTTTCTTCAGTAATGAGCTATAGGATTTAATAACCATTACTAGTATACAGAATCCAAATTTAACTGCTCTAATAGTGTAACAGTGCTTGCGCACAAAAAAAAAAAGATTTGGTCTTGCCTGCAGCTAAGTAAAGGTCATAAACTATATAGAATTTTGACTTCGCAGTGAACAGGATTTTAACAGGACAGCAAGCCACTGAACACCTTAAAGAGCAGAAAGGAGGAAATGAAAAAAATGTCTGCCTACTATCAACAGACTTAGAGGGATTAGATTACAGAGCTCTATTCTGACGATCTGGCGTGTGAGAGGGAGGTGAAGAATTCCAGAAAAAACACCAAATACAAATTCTTTGCTGTAAAACAGGCTGAGGACTTCATATAATAATGGGGTCAACATATGAGTTTTCATCATTTACCTGGATGACTTAAAAGATTCAAGAAGGACAGAGGTGTTCACTAGGCAATTAATTTTTAAGGATGCTTTAAGTTACATAACCTACAGATACAGAACAGTTATAGACAATTGCTTTTGAAAGTTCAGTTCAAGATTTTTGTTAGTAAAAAAAATCATTAGAGTGATCCAATTGCTCTTCATTATTAGGTTTATGCTACCTGTGTGTTTTCAGGCCTCTACCAACTGTTAACTGACACAGGGCAACCATGGAAAATAATCAATCCTGTTAACATCTGAAATTTCATCAGTTGGGATTTTTTTTTTTTTTTGGCATGTGAAAGACATTAAAGACCTAAAGCATCCCAGCAATCTGAGCTGGATTGTCAGCAACTGAGCTGAAATACTGCAACAATAACACCTAAGCAAAGCCCTAATATACAGGCAGACTTCCACTTACAGTTATGAAAATGTAGAACTTGGCAAAGCTGTCTTCTAATGAACAGAAGCCTGATGGTCTTTCAAAAAAAAAATTCAAGTGTCTGCTACACCAGTTTACCCTTTTGACCAGTCAGCCAACTCAGCCTTTCCTACCTTCCCCATCGACCAAAATGAGAGATTTTACTCACCCACCTATTCACTGCAGACTTGATACTTTCTGTTACCATTATACTTTTAAGTGGAACAAGATCACATCTCTTTATGGCTTTCAGGTACCGCTTTACACTTAATATCTCACCGAGAACTTACCAGTGAAATTTAAACTGACATTTATAAAAATGCACTTTCTAATAAAGAAAAATCACAATTGAAACTTTTTTATGTCTCATGTTGCAGGACATGGGTATTGTACAGAAATTACAAAACTGCAAAGAACTTCAGGTCCTATCCACAGGAAAAAACATTTGTTTAAGTTTTACAAATCATAACGGGTATACCCAGACTATCATTTAAATACAGGTGCTATCCAAGCTGGTGTCAGTAATACTGAACACAGCTTTGTGCCTGGGAACAAGTGCACTCAGAAGAACTCATGGAGTTAGCAGGCCAGGCTTGCCAGAATGTCAGATGTTGTAACAACATTGTTGTTGTACAACAGCTCCCTTACCATCTTATTTCAACGCACCACAGTCCATCCTGGAAGTCTAACTTCTGCTCATGTGCTCTGCTTATGGAGCAAGGACAAGCCTACTTTTGTTCAATATATAGCAGGCTGTTTCAGCTAACCCTTTTATTCCCTAAGGAGCAGTACAAAAATTCACTGAATACTGAATAAAATTGGGTATCCCCTCCTTGAGGGCAGAAAGCCTTTTCTAGTGCTGACCTTCACTCGTGTTAGACACTTGCGGTACATAAGGCTGAAAAGTTGAAGGAAAGAATTCACAAATTCTGCCAGAAACGCTATCTATGAACTCCGAACATTTTACCTAAAAGAAGGGTGGCCAAAGCAGAGCTTCTGAAGCTTGATGCATTCTCTTAAACTGCAAGCTGATTTGGTTCTTGAAAAATAAAAGAGCAAGTGTTTGAGTAATACTTAGCAAATTCTAATCACATAAACCAGGTGTAGAGGTTAGGAAGAAACTATCAAAATAGCAGAAAAAAAAGGGTCACTCACAAATATAAATAATACAGTATTTGTTTTACTCTGTTCTCACCAACTGTTCTTTTTGATACTGGAACTGTAGGAACTGGGAACTGCATGTCTGTAGTTTCAGCATGAGGAGAACATACATTCATAAATATACACATGCAGAAGATCTTCGAGTAACAGTCATTACAGAAGCTGGGAATAAGGTCAGTAGTATGCATGATTTAAACTAGGACAAAACCTGAAAGCCAGAACGGGTAAGAAACACACCGGAGGATGAAGAAGAAGATTGCAGTAGCATGACATATTACTAAGGGATAAATTGAATTGCCTCAGTCAACACTAGCTGAGTCAACTTTCATATTAATCAATAAAAAAAATAAAAATAACCTTTAAAAGTGATTTTTTTTTTTTAGTGACTATATAGAAAGTGTCATCTTGATTTAAGCAAGTTTATTAGGTGCTTTTTAGGTGTTTTTCAGCTATCAATAGGTTGGAATGCATTTTCACTTTTAGCTGTGTTCTTGGAACATAGCTACAGAAATTCAACATTTTCATGGGTTTCCTTCATAGAGCACAGAAGGAAAAGAGTGCAGGACACCAACAGACCGACCCATGGAAATACGTGGCTTCCAGCACCTCTGTTACATACAAAAATTTGACTTACCGAAAACGTTGAGCCTGCTGAGCTAGAGGTGCCGGATACCTTCTGTTTGGAGAATGGTACAGCTGAGAAAGGATGGCCTGGTTATTTTTTTGGCTTGGATTGTTAGCAAACTTTACAGTGATGGGCTCGGTGGCACCTGGAGGTTTCTGGCCATTCAAGCCTTTGATAGCTTCTTCTGCTTCAATTCGCTTGTCAAAACGGATAAATCCGACACCCCTTGACACCCCTGCATAGGTTGAAGGAAGCATATAATAAATCCAGATGTTATGGCACATTTGACTTTAATATTCAATTCTTTCACCAGCTGCTACAAATGCTAAATTGTGAGCTTACTAGAACTGATCTTTTGCTGACAGAAGACTTCGCTAAGTTTTTGGGGATTTTAATTTATTTTTTGAAGTTATGTAAGATACGCTGGTTAGAAAGAGCTTGGAAGGTTGAATGAAAAACAGTGACATGGCAACTTAAACATCAGGAGCCAAAGAGATATCCCAAAACTGATTTTGGTTGTATGGAGGAGGTGAACCCAGAACAACCTGCATGGTAACCTCTGTTTAGTTAATGCCACTCCACAGTATCTATATTTACTGAGGTTTTATAAATGGCTTAGTCTTCTCCCTAGCAGCAAGGAATGTTTATGCTCTGCTGCAGCACCCCTTAAAAGTTCACTTTGGAACATATATACTAAAACACTAAGACCTATGTGGGTTTTAGGTTGCAGTAATGTAGGTTACAGCCCGGTTTTAACAGGCCATGTTTATTTCTGTAAGTGAAGATTCAGTTTCAGTACATCACCACATACTTTTGTAGGGGATGTTTCTGAAGGAAACCGTTTTTTTGGGTCATAGATTCTTCCTACATACAGGCAAGTCAAAGACAACATGCAAGGAGATCATCAAGTATTTATGGAAGGTCTTAGGAATGTTACAAGTCGAAGCTGTACACCGTGGCCTGAATATGAACATACTGGGGTGTTAATACTTACACCAATTACCAGTAAAGGTTCTAGGGCTAACACTAATTAGTTGTATGCTTTATTATAACATTCCTGAATCCATTTAGAGGCCTCTAACATTTCCCTTCATAATCAGCGAAGTGAGAAGCTTATCCTCACTTTAGAAAGACATTAATGACAAGAAATATACTCTGTTCATAAACAATGACAATTTAAATCAAAGTGACAATGAACAAGTGAAAAAAGCTTTAGAGACAAGTGTCACAGCCTCAACTTTGCATTTTTCATCTGTCAGTTTTTGTCACAACCTTATTATTCATACCCTTTTGAGTCTTTTTTCCACCTTCTTAGCGACTTGGAGAAAAGCTTAAACCTGAACAACAATCTATGCTAAAGAACTGCTGTGCTCATATTAGGATTTGAATGCTTAGAACTACAGTACACACTTTTATAAGTTTAAATTTACTTATGTGGACCATGTAAAATCCCACCCTTTCTGTGCATTAATATCAAAAGCATACTGTAAATATTTGTCAAATGAAGAGTGAAAACTTGTCCAGCATATCTGCTTCTTCTGCAAATCACTATTTGGCATTTAACTTTTCTGTCCCTGCCTCTCCACACACACCGTGTCAATATTGAGATTTCTGTTAAAACACAATTGCAAAGAAGTGCATGTGCAGTCAACTACAGTTCAGCCAAGTGTCAGACGATATATGTATATGTATAACACATACAAAATAAGGTCATTTGAAAACTTTATGACTTCCTGTGGCTGAAAGCTGTTTGTCAACCACAACGACATACTTTGAAAGGGTGCAACTATAAAAAGATATCTAAACTAACTTATTCAGAGAATAATTATGAGTTAAGGAATTGCCCCCTTCCTCCCCCAGCAAGTTTGTTGGTGTGTTTGTGTTTTTTTCTGAGATGTGAATTCTGAGAGCCCTCCTCCGTGTTCTGCTTAGTGCGCTAAATAACTCAATGCTTATGTGATATCCTAGGCACTTAATTTGATTGCTTATTTTTGAAACAAACCCACTGGAAGCAGGTGAGGCAGAGTTAAAGATCTTCAACATCAGCCATTTGAGCCAGGATGAATGCACAGCAAAAACACGTTTGGTCTGAAGAGCAACCCCAGAGCGTCACTGACACCAATTTACTAGTTTATATTAGTTTAAACATACTGTAAAAATGCAACTAACTTAATAGATCTTACTTCTGGTTAGGTACTGGTATAGGCTGCCCTGAGAAGTGGTAGAGTTGTCATCCTCAAAGGTATTTAGGAGATGTGTATGCAGAGCTTAAGGGACATGATTTAATGGTGGACTTGGTAGTGTTAGGCTGCTGGTTGGATTTGATGATCTTAAAGGTCTTTTCCAACCTGAATAATTCTATGATTCTTTAAGACACTGTTAAGGACAGAATTCATCTGCTTCTGAAGAACTCAAAGTTCATTTTCTTCAGTGTACCTAAAGTTAATGAGGCAACCTTGAAAACAGTCTTAACAGCAATTACTAGTCCAGGTCTTTTGTAATCCTAGCAGAGAACCAGCTGCGCATTTCTGTTTTTTTTTTTTTGTTTGTTTGTTTGTGTTTTTTTTTGTTTTTTTTTAATAGAAGTGCTTAATAGCATTTCTTAAAGAGCATGGGGACTATTTTCACACAGCAGCTTGGAAAGGAAGATTATAGCAGCTGTAAATTTATTACAAGCCATGAAACAGGCTTCCAACCTGCACCTTCAGGGTGGAAATGACTCAAGGTGGCTCAGTTCACTCCAATCTATTTTTGTCCATGCATATTTATGAACAATTCTAGCAGAAAATTGCATTTTCTGGCCCACGTACACCTTTCATATATTCTAGAGACAAGACTATTGTACTAAAAGGCAGTATATTTTTCAAACTGCCAGTCCAAGAACAAGAGCACGAGCACAAAGCTGCATACTTACCAGTGACTTGGTCAACTAGAATACGTGAAGTAATAATGCGTCCGTATTGGGAAAAGAGCTGCTCCAGTTCCTTCTGGGTCATTGTTTTGGGAAGTCCACTGACATACAAATTTGCATCTCTGATAGAAGCTGAACTTGGTCGCGCATAGGAAACCTTGAAAGAACACAAAGCAGCTAGAAATTGGAACAGTTCTAAAACACTTGAAATAGAACACTACAGTGTATCAGGACAGTGTGATTTGTTAAGGTCAGCCAAAAGTTACCTTGCAGTAAGAGTTAAGTGGCTTTTGGTGATGACCGCTATAACACTACCACCAAAGGAACACAACACTGATCACGTAGAATTTGACTACATGAACTCAGATATAAATCTGAACTTCAAGCACTATTTATAAATAAGGTAGAAAAGCTAGACATATACAAGTCTTGGTGGAGAAGTGTTATTTTTCATTTATTTTAAGATTAGAGAAAGATTTAAGATTTAACAAAAATTTTTCCTTTTAATTACCATTAAAACAAAAAATACACAGTATGTAGATTGTTTTGATACCTAGGTCATAAAGGCAGTCCAAAGCACTTTCAGGGGTTTGAAGGTATTTAAGTGCTAACTGTGCCCACTGTAAATGTATTGATCTCACTGTCAAACGACAGTCACTCACAAGAACAAGAGAAACTCCACTACTTCATTTATAGCCCTAAGAATGTGTGGCAGAAGGCTTGGGCGCAGAGCTACAACTCAGACATATGGTTTAATTTGGCTGTGTGGAGCAAGCAGTTGGACTCAACAATCCTTGTGTGTGTCCTTTCCAACTCAGGTTATTCTACATGCTTGGACTATTCAGCAGATCACCAACTTCAGCAACAGAGAAGTCATGCCAAATGCCAGTGAAGCTCCCAGGTCCCTTTGGGCTGGAATTTTTGCCTGCTGCCTCAAAGTGCCAGTCAAGTACTTTATAAGATTATCTATTAGATTATTTAATCCTTAAATACATGCCACAGAGTTGAGGAGTTCAGTACCCCTCACTGAAGTCTGCACAAGACTTATCTTTGTTACAGAAAAGACTGTAATTGGACGTCCATGCTTGTGGAACAGGATGGGCCCAAGTACTTTATTTGGTGTTTTCACAGTACAAAAGTACAGTCAAAGGAGACTCAAGGAGAAGTCAGATTTGAGACTCGAGAAGTAGTCAGATTTAACCTCTTTCCCCTCTACAGCATAGGATCAGCTGCTTCTAGTCAGCTAGAACTTAACTCTGTAAACCTATCTTCTGCCTAATCCTTTGGCATTTGTTTTCAAATCCTCCCTCTGTCTCAGTTCGGTACTTATCAGTGAACTGTAAGACTCCCATGGAAGCAAAACAAACAGCAACTGAGATAGAGCATCTCAGTGACTAAACAAGCGATACTCTGAACGTTGCTTTTATCATCCAGCCTTCTACACAGACGCTTTGGGCAAGGTAAGCTGGCTGCATGGGGCTCACCTTGGACACTTGTAGCTGTCCAACGTAAGACACTCAAGACAAGACCCCGTGAGCAGCAGCACCTTGCTCTTTAACATGAGACATGTAAGAATTAAACACTTGTGTCAACACAAGCAGCTGGGAATAAACACAGTCCTTTCTCCTAATTTGCTTTATGTATTTATTTTATGGAGTGTGCAAGTTTAATTATAACACTCCACTGGATCTGAGTCCACTCAAGTGAAGTCCTCTTTCTTCTATATGCTATCCCCTCTCTTGTTTTTAATTTTTTTAAATAACTATTTTTAGGAACACATACCAGGAAACTGTCCACAGAAGAGCTGATAAAAATTACCACCATCACGATGTCAGATAGCAAGCCACAGTCCCTTCTTCAGCAAAATCAGATTCAGTGTCCCTGATGCAAAGTGTTAAACAATAAAAACACTCCACCAAATACTGTCAAAAGATTCCTGACATCTGGTCATAGCAAGAAGCTGCTGTGTCACTTTGGACTAATCTTTGACTCAGCTTTCCACATCACACAAAGCTCCTCTATCATCCTGTAATACGCACTGACAAGGGTTATTTTCTAGTAAGCTTTTCCTTCAAAAATATCTTTTTTTTTTTCCAGGTACACTATAAAGAAAAAGTAATAGTTCCTTTTGTAGGCTAGCTAGGAACTGATAAAGTTTCTGATTTTGACTCAGTTTTTGCCATCTAAAAACTTAAGTGGTGAATATTCTACTAAAAGTCAGTATAGGAATATTCCTGGAACATAATATGAACTACTACGTAGAGTCAGATAAACAGAAGCGTTCAAGACAAAAGTGCTGGTAACCTGCCATAGACCTCTAATTATCACAATTGTAGAAAAAGCTGATTATGCATCACACAAGCTCTTTATCCACATAGCATGCACCACTTCCCTGTAAATTACAGCAATGATGCAATCTCGTAACTTGGATGAGAGGTCAGACAAATATTAAGAAGAGAGTAACCACATTCCTGTGTGAATCACATTACTGTGTGGCAGAAGTGTTTTTCATAAGACCAGTGAGAGGTTTAACACGACCTTCCTTAACAGGCCCTTCTAGAGAGGCAAACAATTGATTTGCTAAACCTTGCTAGAGCAGATTCAATAATCCAGTTCAGGTCTCATCAGCAACATTAGTTCTTTCATGAAAAGAAATGGGGACATCCTACTGTTATTTCCTTGTGCTGTTTTCGCATAATCAACCACACACTTTCTTCTGATGAGTATTTGAAAAGTCAAGTACAATGGGTGGAACTACAAAAATTAAGATGAGAGGAAAGCAAGGTATTGCAATGCAGAGAAACAGAATAGGAATAAGACTTCACTAACCAGCTGTATGGCAGATTTTCTGACAGCTGGGTGAGATGCCCAACTGTCAGTTCTGTGCAAAAGTATATAAACACAAATTTGGTAAAAAAAAATTTCTTTTTGAAGTTGTAAATCTGCTACTTTCATATGGCTGTGCAGCCAAAGCCCAATACTTGCCCAGTAATTGTGTTTAATGCTGAATTCTTCTTTTTACTCTGTATATTCAACCTTCACGCTGCATACAGCTGTATTTAAGAAACAGTTTTTAGATCTTGAGTTTTTCCTACTTTTCTGCAAGCAGAAGTGTATGCTTATGATATTTCCTGGTACACAGTCAGTGAGGCAAACTGGAGGCAGGAAAACCGACAGAATGAAGCTTTCCTGCATTCAGACGAAGAAGGGAACACAGCATGCTGGCTACTCAAGAGGCAGAAAAACACAGCTACTAAGGAATGAAGGATTGCTGATGCTGGATATGAGCTTCTGAGCTCCATGCCACACTTGGTGGGAATATCTTAAGGAGACCCAAGGCCAGAGAATGGAGACAGACAGGGTACAGGCCTGGACACAACAAAATCCCCACTTAACAAAAACAAGTAGTTCTGACCAGCTGAGTTCATGTCGGTTTTCAAAATCAACCCTTCTACCCCCCAAAATTTAGCACTATCAGACATGATAGGAGTACCTTGCAACAAAGTCTGGTAACTGACCACAATGAACTATTAACAATATAGAATTTGATGCCAATGGAAGTAGGGAAGGACTAGTTCTAGTTTTAAATAAACTACATGAGAAAAAAAATGCATAGCTGCATGGATCACTGGAACAGTTTTATCTGCCAGTTTTTCATTCTCTCTGCAGCTGAGATATGCCAAAAAAACTGTTCTATCTAGTCTGACTTAAGCTGCCAGACAAGTTTTCCTTTTTGTATGCATTTGTTCAAGCACTCTAGGGAGAAGTTGGAACTCCTGGGAGCAAGCATCAACTAGAGAAAGAAGTAAAAGTGACTTATCTTTACATTTAAGAAGAAAACTGTGCAATCACCAAGCAGTTTTCTAAGCATGCATGCTTTTAAGCTTGTAGAACGGAGGTTGCAGAACATAAGCCTTGTAAGCTGCTTTCAGACAGGACAAAAGTTTGAATAGAAGACACTGAAAGGCCTCCTGAACCCCCCTAGGACATACTTCAGGGTGCTGCTGTTTTCCCAGACTCAAACCAGACTACCTAGACTCAGTTCTACATCTGTTGATAGATTAAACAGCTCCATTTTCTAAGCAACCTGAAGCAGTAGGTGGACTTTCCATCCAGCTGCCTACCGCTAACAGCCAAAGACATTTTGATACAACACATTAAAGGCAATGGAGTAACTAATCACGGAAATCTATTCCAGATACCTGAACAAAAAGAGGTGACTGGAAATAGTCAGCGTGGATTTATAGAGGGGCAATCACGACAAGGCTACTCAGTTGGTTAGACAAATGACATGATTGCCATGGTGGAAAAGGGGAGATGACCAACATTCATCCCAACTTTAGTAAGACCTTTGACACTCTCCCCTATCACCCTTATAGGCAAAACACACATTAATAACACTTAAGCACATACGAGAAAACAAAATAAGTAAACAGTGAGGGAGGCTAAAAACTGGCTAAATTGCCAGGTTCTGTGGGTTGTGACCACTGTCATGAAATTCAGCTGTGGGATAGTCATTGGGCTCCATCAATGTGGGAAGGATCTTCATTAGTAACCCAGATGACCAGGCAGAGTGTACCTTCAGCAGTTCAGCAGATGACACAAAATGGGATGAGTGGCTGATATGCCAGAGGGTTGTGCTGCCACCCAGAGTGACCTCAACCAGACTTGAGAACATCCTAAAGTTCAAAAATGGGAAAAGGTAAGTCCTCCCCCTGGGCAGGAATACTCTGTGCTCTAGTACATACCGGGAGCCAACTGGCTGAAAAGCAGCTCTGCAGAGGGCTCTACAGTCCTGGTGGATAGCACTCTGACCACAAGTCAACAAAATGCATCCTTGTGACAAAGACGGCCAACAGCATCCAGGGCTGTGTTAGGAAAACTATTATGATCAGCACTTCAAGGGATGCGATCCTTCTCCTCAATGTAGGGCTGACATAACTCTGGTGCAGGAGTCCAGAGCAGCAGACTGTACCACAAGAGATATTTACATACTGGTGAGTCCAACAAAGGGCCACAGAGGTGATTAAAGGACCAGCACATCTCTGATGCAAGGGGAGGCTGAGAGAGCTGGGATTGCTCAGTCTGGAGAAAAGGCAGCTCAGTAGGATCTTATCCTTAAATTCCTAACGAGGGTAGTAAAGATGGAGCTAGACT